TAGTCATTCATTTGGTCATTCATTCATTCATTCGAGTGTGGGTGCATGCGTGTGAATGCAGGGGATTGGTGAGTACTGCCGGTACTGGAGATCAGATCCCCTGGAGCTGGAGTCCCGGGTGGTTAAGATCTACCTAACCTCTGTGCTAGGACCCAAACTCAGGTCCTCTAGAAGAGCATCAGGTCCTCTCAAAGGAAGGGCAGACCGCACTGACTGGCCACCTCTCCAGCCTCGTTACTTTCTGCCTAACAGAAAGCTGACACAGGTGGACCCCAGGGTCTCTGGCTATTTTTCAGAACAACTGGGCAGGAATCCTTGCAGTTCAGTAGGTAAGCTGCCCTGATCCAAAGTGCTGTTCTTTTGTGTTGAAGTGTGTGAGAATTTTGGAAAAGGAAGGACAATTTTGGCTACTTGACCTTGTAGGCAACTCCAGTGAATGAATTCTATAGTAACATTGTCAGTTTTCTAGACTTTAGAAGCAGGCTTTCACCCAAGAAAAAGAAATGAAGTTCACAGCTAATTAGAATGCTCCAGAGGTGACCAGAGAAGCAGCAGCGTGTAACTCTACCTACTGAGGGTAACCACTCTCTTCCCGAGCATCCTCCTCACAGATGGACTCTGTGTGAGGTGATGTGCGAGGGTGATAGACACGTGTGTCATCCCAGCACTTAGGAGGCAGAGGCAGGAGGATTGTTACAAGTTTGGGGCTAGCTTGGGTTACACAGTAAGATCCTGTCTCAGACAACCAACCAACCAACCCAATCAAGCAAAAACACAGAGAAGGGAGATCGGAAGAAGGAACAGGAAGGAGGTGGGGGAGAGAGAGAAAGCTGAAGGCCAGGAAGGGAAAAACCAAAGGATAAAAAGTTAAAAGTTAAGGGATCATGCCTTAAATACGCCAACCGAAAACCAAACTGGTGGGAGAAATCCAGTTAAGAAGACACTTTTACTGGGAAGTGGTGGCGCATGCCTTTGATCCCGGCATGCAAGAGGCAGAGAGAGGAGGATCTCTTAGTTCAAGGCCAGCCTGGTCTACAGATCCAGGACAACCAAGGCTACACAGAGAAACACTGCCTCAATAACAGCAACAACAAAAAGACACGCCCATGAAGCTGAAGGTTCACACAAGAGAGTAGAGATCCTGAGTCAAAGGGCATGAGAGCCAAGACCCGAAGCAACTGAGTGAAGAGCTCGACAATTGTAACCCCACCTATCCCGGGAAGAGGCCACATCCTGGACACGCCCCCTACTGTCAAAATGCCCAGTGTGTGTGTGTGTGTGTGTGTGTGTGTGTGTGTGTGTGTGTGTGCAGTTCTAGAGGGCTGCAGTTCCACTAGCTCAGGCTCTCCCAGACCTGAGGCCAGGAAGGTCACCTCCCACTCACTGTCCCAGGAGCCCGGCCTTCCCTCATGGACATATCTCTCTCAGTGACAAGGACAATAAATTACTGTTGAGGGAGATGGAACCCACAAATGATCCTGAAACTCAGGAGGCTGATGCAATAGAATTTCAAGGCTAAGGCCACACTAGGCGACAGGACAGCCTGCTTCAAAAGAGAAAGGAAGAAGGAAGAAAGGAAGAAAGGAAGGAAGGGAGAAAGGGAGGGAGGGAGAGAGAGAGAGAGAGAGAGAGAGAGAGAGAGAGAGAGAGAGAGAG